AACATCATAATGTGCAGATGAACCCAACCAATTGGGCTAATAAGTATTTTTCAATTATATTTGCAGTGATGGCAAGACTAGGATTAACAAAAAAATTGATAAGGAGAAAAAAATGTGTAGCAAGTTTGTCATTTTGGACGACCATAATGCAACTAATAAAATATTTTTGGCTTATAGTTCTCAATCGAGTAAAACATTATTACAAACATGCTATTTTGAAAACCGTTTATCATTATGATTTTTATGAGAGGAGAAAGTACATTCAAAAAATAATATATACAAGTGATAGTGTGTGCAAGAATGTAATAAGAATGAATAGACAAACTTTTCATCGTTTATGTTCGAGACTTGAAGCAACTAGAATGGTATTTTCAACAAAAAATATGTTAGTCGATGAACAAGTTGCTATCACATTACATATTTTGGCACATCACCAAAAAGAGAGGGTTATAAATGCAAACTTTGAGCGTTCTGGGGAGACAATAAGTAGGCACTTCCGACAAGTAATAAATGCTATTATAAGAATTCAAGAAGAACTACTTAAGAAACCTGAAGCTGTTCCAGATGATTCTACTGATGAAAGATGGAAATGGTTCAAGGTATGTTATATAGTCTACAGATAAATAATATAATAATGTAAATCATCGTGTTTATTCTAGTTTTATTATAATAGGGGTGTTTAGGTGCTCTAGATGGCACTCATATCAAGGTTCGAGTGCCTGTACAAGACAAACCTAGGTACCGCACGCGTAAAAATGAAATTGCTACAAATGTATTGGGGGTATGCTCCCAAGATATGCAATTCATCTACGTGTTACCTGGGTGGGAAGGTTCAGCAGTCGATGGTAGAGTGTTTACGAGATGCAATAACTCGGAGAAATGGCTTGGTGGTTCCTCGTGGTAAGATGCATAAATCCAGTTCAATTAAGATTAAAAAAAAAAAATTACCCTTTAAAAAAGACAAAAATAAATATTTTATACTAATGATTAATATAACTTCAAGGTACGTATTATCTTGTGGATGCTGGGTATACAAATGGTGAAGGATTTCTTGCACCATTTCGAGGCCAAAGATATCATTTGAATGATTGGAGAGAAAGACACATGCCTACCATCGCTGAAGAATTTTTCAATATGAAGCAATCTTCTGCTAGAAACACAATAGAGAGAGTTTTTGGCTTGATAAAGACTCGATGGGAATCTTGAGAAGTTCATCATACTATCCTATAAAAATACAAAATCGCATCATCATGGCTTGCTGCTTACTTCATAATTTCATTATGTAAGAAATGGGTGCTTACGACGATGAGGAGGAAGAAATAGAAATCAACAAGAGAATAATGACATACATGAGGATGAAGACCTTGTTACTACGGTTGAACCTTCTACTCAGTGGACTAGTTTTAGAAAAAACCTTGCTGTTAGTATGTTTAACACATGGATAGCGCATAGAAACTCTGCATAGTTTTTTTTTTCATATTGAAAGTAGAAACATTGTTGTTATTACGTTCACCGTGTGGGGTATATTTTTTGGCGGTTACATCTTTTGTTCAAATTTGTGGATTCTTTATTTGTTAATTCATGTGATGGATTATATGTTAAGTCATGCGATGAAAATTTTTCTATTATAATCTTAATTTACTGTCAGTTTGTATTTTCCTTACAAAGCATGGATCATCAACCTCAAGAAACAAGAGGTCGTGGGAAGAGCAAAAGAAAATGGAATAATGAGGAAGATGCTAAGCTTGTGGAGGCATTTCTTGAGATGGTAAATCTTGGAACCTATAAGGCTGAAAATGGGTTCAAACCTGGGTACTTGAACTATGTTGAGGACAAGTTGCGAGTCTCGTTGCCTAGCTCTGGATTCAAGGCTAAACCACATATTGAGTCAAGAATTAAGACATTGAAGAGAGACTTTAATATTGTGTATGATATGTTAAATGGTCCAAATACAAGTGGATTTGGTATGGATCCGATAAGAAAATGCATCGTAGCCGAAAAGTCCGTATGGGGCCCCTACATTGAGATATTTACATAACTACTTTTTATAGATTTGTTTGTTGCGTTTGGTTCCATAGGTTTGTTATATAGTATTGTAATTTATTTTGAATATTTTAGAAAATCTCTTTGATTTTCACTAGATTGTTTTTAGTTTTGTTGGTAGGATGTCACCATATTTTTTTTTCTTTTTTTGTCAACTTGAATAGAATGTAGCCTGGGAGATATAGTAATCAAACACATTATAATCAGAATAATATTATGAGATATGTCTATAGTTCATCAGTATTAAACTAATTAAAGCAGTACAAATTGTATATGTCTAGCTAGTCTCTGCTTTTTTCAGTTAGTTTGCCTGCCACCATCAAATCAAAGATTTAAAATAAATAACTAGCTTAGATGATTGGATTAGTTAATGATTGATAACTTATTTAATTGAGTCTTCTGTTAGTTGGACGAAAAATTATGGTTTACTACTGAGGTGGATATCATCTTGTATGAATTGTGGTCATGATGGTTTTTTGTCAATAGAGTTGTTGGTTGTGAAATGAGAGAAAAAAAAAATGACAATGTGATCAATTACATATTTTGTTAATTTTCTCAATTAGTTATTGTTTTTTCTTGTGACACAGAGTCATCCTACCCATGCAATCTGGCAAAATAAGGCTTTCCCCTTATATGATGACTTGCTCATTATTTTGGAAAAGATCGTGCTACTGGAGGAAATACTGAAGGACCTAATGATATGATGGAAGATATACAAAGGGAAGATGTCAATCTTAATGCTGATAATGACGTGGAAGCAACATCCGGAATTGGTCTTGATGATTTGGATGCTTCATTTTCTCCATTACAGTCCCCAAGATCTGCTGCAGTTGACAAGAGGAAGAAAAGAAAAAGAAGTGTTGATAACTTAACGGCTATGATTGACATAAAAGAAGCAGCATCGCTTATTGGAAGTGAAATTGCTAAAGCTAGTGAAATTTTTGGTAAAGCTATTGGAGTTGATGCTGAAATTTCAGAAAAGAGACAAAGGATTGATTCAGAGATAAGGAAGATTCCCAATCTAGCTGTGGTGGATGTTATTAAAGTTGTGTGTCGTATCGCTCAATCACCCGAGTTAACCGACGTATTTTTTAGCATGACTGAAGAAGGAAGAGAGCAGTTGGTTATGGCCATCATAAGTGGCCAAGTTTAAATCGTCTATTTTTTTATCTTCAAATTTATAATATCGTCGCTACTTATTTTATCAAGTTCAAATTTTTATTGAATGATACATTCGTACATTTGTTTTTATTTTGATTGAGTTTATTTTATGATTATAAGTTTGATTTTGTTAAATATTCATAATTATGTTAAGGCTAAATTACAAAAACTAGCCAATAACTTAGACGGGTTGGCAATTTTAGACACCTTCTTTTCATTTTGGCAATAGTAGCCAAAATATTTAAAAATTCAGTCTTTCTACCCAAATCCAGCCGAAATCGTCAGAACTCCGCCTGAGAACACCGAAAAAGCCAGCGTGGAACTACACGTGGACACTTAATCCACCTCAGCTCACTCTTCTATAAATACACCTTCCACATGTATCACTTTCATGTATTATCATATTTAAAAAATCGATTAAAAACAATAAAGCTATTTATAAAAAAAAAAAAAGTAAACCTATCCATTTCATAGAAAAATTTGGGGAAAAATTTCGAACCCTAAAATCGCATAGACACCCACCACGCGTAGGCACGACTGGGCAGTGATCTGAAATACGTTGAAAATTGCGTCCACATACACAGATGAATTCGGTTATGAGGCGAAGCTTGTGATACAAGCCAAATTTCGTCTTCCTCTTCTTTGATTTTGATTTTTATTTTTAGATTCGATTTTTTGTCGGTCGATTTTTCAGATTTGGGGATAGTTAAGAGGCAGATTGATCGGTGATTAAGTGCAGTCGGACTGAAATTCTCGTTTCGCATTTAAGTCCGACCGGACAAATTGTGGTGGTTTTCATGAAAACGCTTCAGGAGCAGCGGCTCTTGCTGCGAGTCTCCGCCAGTGCCTGGGGGAGCAATGCTGTCGATCTACCTCAACGATCTGAGGAGGATCGCCGCAGGCGGCGGCGAGGAGATGGTCTAGGTCACGCTCAAGCTGGACGGCAGCTCGGTGGTGCTGTGCGGAATTCGATCTATGCATTTTTAGGGTTCGAACTTGACCCGATTTTTCCCCAATTTTTCTGAATTGTGAAGGTGATACGCGTGGAGGGGTATTTATAGACAAGTGAGCTGAGGTGGATTAAGTTGTCCACGTGTAGTTCCAGCTGGCTTTTTCGGTGTTCTCAGGCGGAGTTCCGACGACTTCGGCCGGATTTGGGTAGAAAGACCGAATTTTTAAAATATTTTGGCTACTATTGCCAAAATGAAAATAAGATGGCTAAAATTGTCAACCCGTCTAAGTTACTGGCTAGTTTTTGTAATTTGACCTTATGTTAATAATGCACAACGAAAAAAAAATCAAACAAAGGCGCGGTGAGTTTGCAAAGTGTTTTTGTGTTTGTTTAGCTGTTAGATTAGCTGTTGTCTATACGCACAGGATCCTTCAGCTTAATAGCAGGTCTTTCATATAGAATTTGGTGTGCTTTGTGTCTGATGTCACAAGTGAACAAATTGCATTGGCCATGATCATTAAAAAATAATTAATACACTTTATTAAAATAAATAATTATTGTAGTTAATATTTGAAAAAGTAATATTGATAAGTGGATTTGAAACTGATTTGTAGACACAAATAAAGAATTATAATATATATTTTCATTCCAACAGCTGGTTTTAAAATACCAATCATGGGAATGATATCAAGTAGGGAATAAATGTTTCAATCCTTGCCAATACCAATGGCATGTATGAGAATGATTATTACATTTCACTAGTACAGAGCTCGTGCAATGCACGGGGTGCAAAATTTTAAGGTCATTTATCCATTCTTATAATTATATAAATGAATAAAAAAAATGTACGGGATATATATAGTACGTGACCTGTAATAGGCCAAAATGTGAATACGGGTGATGCACGGAGTGCACAATTTTAAGGTCATTTATTAGTGCATACCCCGTGCGATGCACGTGATACATATAATAAAAATCAATTATTTCTATAGGACTTGTACGTCTAGACAAAAAATTAATAGGCTTGGATCATCCATATTTCACATCTTTTAATAAGTAGCATTTATTTAAGTCAAAAAATTAACATGTTAATTAATATATAATTCCGCTCTAACATGTCATACTAATATTTATTTGATTTTAGAATAAATATTTATTCATTGTAAAAATAGAAAAAAATAAAATTTTTATTAATTATTGTTCATCATATAATACTCAATTATTATTTTATTATAAAATTTACAGTCATATAATGTAATTATTATTATTTATAAAAGTTATATAAGTAGTCTTCTTTATGTAATGAAAATCAAAATAAAATTTTGAGTATAAATGTTTACAAAATACACACACATGTTTTTTAGAATTTTATTTTCTCATGATTATTCTTTTTTTAAATGATTTAGCAATTGCCAAAAAATAAATTCCTTACATAATCAAGAGATTTTTTCTAATTTTCATCCTAAGACTTTATAGTTTATTTAACATACTATGCAATAGAAAAATATTTTACAATAAGTTCAATTTTGAAATATAACAAAAAAAAAAGTGATAAAAACACTATCATAGTTGACAATAATATACAAATAAATAACATGTTGAAATTTTAAAGAATAACTATAATTTTATTATCTAACCATCAATAAAATCATTTAATGATGTGATCATTATCTTTTAAATAATGAATAATATTAATATTTTAAAAAATTATTAGTGTTATATAATTAAATAAAGGTTAAAAAATATTACTCGACAAATATTAATTATAATGGATATCAGTAAAATCATTGATAAATTATTTAACGAAAAAAATCTTGAAGATCATACTTTGATAGTAAATGTAAATTGCAAGCATTTAATGCATATAGTAAAAATTTTCCAAATAAAGTATGCATTAAATGTGTGTTGACTTTTCTTGCTACTGTTTTTAGTAAATAGGTTGACTTTTAATATATATATAGATAGATAATATATATTTTTATCATTTATAGTGTAGGACATTTCTCTAAATAATCACAATTCAACAACAGATACAACCGACAATGTTGATTAATATTTAAAATTTTAATCTATATTTAACTTACAAAATAGAGAGAATTTCATTTTAAATCACGTTTTAATTTTTATTATTGATTAAAATATAAAAATTATTTGTACTTATATAAAGAGTCATTCTTTATTAAAATTAGTAGAAAAAAATAGGTCAACATTAAATGCAGCTCATAAGTAGTAATTTTATTATTTTTCTTATTTTTTTTAAAAAAAATCATACAATATAATTTATAAATATGCTCTAATATAATCATACAATTTAATTAAAATAATTAAAAATGATGAACAAGAATAAGTAAAACTGTTGCTTTCTCTTATATCAAGAGATAAATTTATATGTTAAAATTAAGTTTTTATTAGTATAAATATTTTAGTGAGATAATATATTAATTATTTTACAAGCTAGCCCTAACGTGCTCATATTTAATGTTCTGGCTAAAAAGACAATATTGGTTAAATGATTTGGAAAAAAAATTTATAACCCAATTATTTTTTAAACTTAACGTTGATTAAAAGAGGTAGAAAATAGATAAACCCTATTGCTTTTTAGACTTAAATGGACAAGACTGTAACAATAACTCATTTAATAACTCTGTCAGATGTGGAAAAAAGTCTATATCCTATTGTTTTTTAGACATAATGTTGATAAAATATATAGAAAATAGATAATAACCCTAATACTTTTTAGATTTAAACGAACAAGGCTGTGAAAATAAAAGTTTATAACCCTATTGTTTTTTAGACTTAACGTTGCTAAAATATGTAGAAAATAGATAATAACTCTATTACTTTTTGGACTTAAACGGACAAGGCTGTGAAAATAACTCATTTAATATCTATGTCCCGTGCATCGCACGGGGTACGTACTAGTGTACATAACAAACAATAATAATTTGCAACAACAATAATTTGCTTTTTTTTTTTAATAAATGAATAGATATAGCCTGATAGATAGTCCAATTTAAACTATTATATTTTTTTAATGAGTACAATATTGTTTGTAAGACTCAATATTGACCCAATAATTTTGACAAGAGAGCATATCACACATTGGAAACACAAGTAAAAAAGTGTCATATTTCAACCACTTCACAATCAACACCACTTCCCAAACAACACATTTCAAATTTGAAAGTTTGAACCGGTGAATCATTCGAACCAGTACTGGTTTACTGGTTCGAATGTTAGGCGGTTTAATGTGGAAAATCAGACTGGAATGAAGGCAGGTTCCTGGTCCAACCAGTCCGGTTTTCAGAACCATGGAAAAAACGCGTGTTGAAAAACCCTTCTAGTGCAGCGCCACAATTTTGCGCCAGAAAGAATTGCGCTACACTTTTTTTCTATTTTATTGTTTATTGTATTTTTGTGCTTATTTTGTGTGTTTTATGTGCTTTAGTTGAGTGTTATTAGGTCCGTTTTAGTGTCAACCGGTCTGTTTTATCTTGTTTCATGCATTTTTATTCTCGTTATGTGTTTATGGGCTTTGCCATAATTTTCTTGTCTTTTTTGTGTTGATTAGGTCTATTTTGTCGAGCTTGGGAAAACGAGTCGTTCGAGCCGAGCCGACCCAATCGAGCCGGCCCGAGCCATGATTGGGACTGGACCAACGCCTCGAGCCCGCGCCCGCGCCAGCAAGTCGCGCCTGCCCGCGAGTCCTCATGCCTGCGCCCGCGAACAACGCTTTTTGCATGCGAGTCCTCAGGCCCGCGCCCGCACCCGCGAACAACGCCCTTTACCCGTGAGTCCCCGCATGCGCCCGTCTGCCCGCAGGCTAGGCATGGCAAACTCGCGGTGGAAGGAATG